CGTCATGTCGGTCCTTTTGGAAGCAGTAGACAACGAAGTACGGCAACATGTGGATACAACGGCAAAGAAAAACTACCTCATCACAGACGACGTCCTGTACGCCGACGACACGATGCTGCTAGCCGAAGAACCCGGCGCTCTCCAGAGACATCTAAACGTGGTGGCGGCGATCGGCAAAGCATTTGGATTGGAGCTCAACGAAGGAAAGACGGTTCTGTTAAATATCAATTCGGATGCGGAAATATTTGGGCCTGGCGGAGACGCGATTCAAGCTAAAGATAGTGCTGTTTACTTGGGCGGCCTCATCAGCACCGACGGGAAGCCACGGACGGAACTTACAAGGCGACTTGGCGAAGCAAAGGGTGCTTTTCAGAAGCTCTGCAATGTTTGGAATCATGCGAACGTATGCCGGAAACGAAAAGTACGAATATTGGAGTGTTGTATTTTCTCCAAGCTCTTGTATGGACTGGAGTCGTGCGTTCTTCTATCACGAGACCTGGACCAGCTGAACAGTTTCCAAGCCAGGTGCCTCAGGAGAATTTTCAACATACCTTCAGCTTTTTATATCGCGCGTGAGCAACGCCGAAATGATGACTGCAGCTGGCGCGCAACGCCTGTCCGCAATGTTGTTACAGCGGCAGCTTACATACTATGGTAAACTTGCTAGGGCTCCTCCGGACACGCTCCCGAGAAAGATGGTTTTTGAATCGGGGCACCTGCATGGTCTTTTACCTCGGAGGTGGAACATTTCTCGCAGAAGAGGCCGCCCCATATTGAAGTGGGGAAGTTACATGCGCGCACGCGCCCTGAGCGTAGCACAAGATAGCCCGGAAAATTTGGATTTGCTGCTGCAGTCGCCGGCTGCGGAATGGAACGCTGCAGTCGCGCAATTCTGCAAATCAGTGTAATGTTTCCCTCGCCTCCCCTCCCCCCCTTCCTCCCTCCCCTCCTTCCGTCCTCCTTCCCTATTGCATGACACAATGCTGGTGCAATTGCCACCGCCGCCCACTACTGCAATATGCAGTGGTTGCGTTCCGGCGCGCGGGCACTCAGCCCGGACGTGTATTCTGCATGAATTTTCCTTGGCCTTCTATACTGCAATCTGTTTTGCCGATGCGCCGTCTAGGTGCGGCTTCTTGCGTGCGAGGCTGGGAGGGAGGAGGGGGGAGGAGGGGAGGGAGGGGAGGGAGGAGGGGAGGGAGGAGTACAGGGGAGGGAGGGGAGGGGAGGGGAGGGGAGGGAGGGGAGGGGAGGGGAGGAGGATGAGTGGGAGGAGGGGGGGAGGAGGGGAGGGAGGGAGGGAGGAGGGGGACGGGGAGGAGTACAGGGGAGGGAGGGGAGGGGAGGGGAGGGGAGAGGAGGGAGGAGGGGGGAGGAGGGGAGGGAGGAGTACAGGTGAGACATGTGCAGACTGTGCTGCAGAAGCCGCCAGCGGCATTCCAGTGAGGCCTTGGCAAAGAACAGAAACAACAACAAAAACACGACAGGGGGGCGGGGGGGGGGGGAAAGGTCGGCTTCCGGGGACCCCCGCCAGGCCCTGGGGCCGTCAGGAAACGACTCAGGAAGGAGAGCCAGTCCCGGGGAAGGGGTCTGGTTCTCTGGGGGGTGTCTGCAACAAAATCACGGCGTCGGAGCTCTGGGGGGGGCCAGGGCCACAGAACGGGCAGGAGGAGAATCGCTCTGACGACGGCCTCTGGAAGCCTCAAAATGGGTTCGCCTCCTAGCCCCTCCTCGGGCGAACCCACCATCTACGGACCCCCGATCTCAAAGGGAACGCGTCCCAGGATATCTGCCGTTTCGGGAAACATCGAGGCGGCAGGTCTGCTATCGTTTTTTGCTTCCGGAAATCAAATTCGGGACTCGGGAACCGTAAAGAGAACGAGTGGGGATGAAGCGCCTGGCGTGGGGAAGGGATCTGAGTCGTCTGGGGAGACGATCCTGGCATTGTGCACCCCTGCCGGGTGCGTGAAGGTCGCCAGACGCTTACGACAACCTCCGGATACCTCCAAAAACTTCCTCCTCCTCCTCCTCCTCCTCCTCCGCCTCCTCCTCCTGCTGGGACCTCCTCCATTGGGCACCTCCTCCTCCTCCTCCTGCTCCTCTTCCTCCTCCTCATCATCATCATGATCACCACCACCACCACCACGACCACCACGACCACCACCATCATAATAATACATAAGCATCATCATCATCATCATCATCATCATCATCATCGTCATCATCATCATCATCATCATCATCATCATCATCATCATCATCATCATCCTCATCCTCATCATCATCATCATCATCATCATCATCATCATCATCATCATCATCATCATCATCATCATCATCATAATCATCACCATCATCATCATCAGCATCAGCATCGCCATAAGCATTATCGGCATCATCATCATCATAAGCAGCAGCATAATCGCAGCAACCTTGTCATCATAATCATCGGCATAATCAGCAGAAGCATCAGTATCATCATAATCATCACCATCATCCTCGTCATCAGCATCACCAGCAGCATCAACAACATCACCATCAACATCATCATCAACATAACCGGCATCATCAGCAACACCAACAACATCCATAGCATCATCAGCAGCATCATCAGCGTCACCAGCATCATCAGCATCATCATCACCATCATCATCATCACCATCACCATCACCATCACCATCACCATCCTCATCATCATCATCATCATCATCATCATCATCATCATCATCATCATCATCATCATCATCATCATCATCATCATCGTTCTCATCACCATCGTCACAAAATTCGTCATGCTCATCTTCGAGAGAGCGCGTTTCACGGGCGCTTGCCTTGGGAACATTCGGCGGCGCCTTTCAAAACGGGGGGGGGGCCCCCCCCAACACTCGGTGTCGTCGATCAAAACCAGGGGGACTCCCTTTCCCCCCAAACCCTTCCCCCTCCCGAACCTCCCCCCGTTCAACCCCCCCCCCCCTCGGCGCCGGCGCTGGCGCCGGCGCTGGCGGCCGCCAGCAGCGCCAAAGGTGGGGACGCGGCGACGACAACCAGAGGCAGCCCAAGGGAGGGGGGGGGTTTAAACCCACCCACCCCTCCTCCTGGCGCCGGCGCTGGCGGCGGCCAGCAGCGCCGGCTAGCGCCAGCGACGGCGGGGACGCACCGACGATTACTACCACTACCACCACCACCAACAATACCACCACCACCACCACCGCCTCAACCCACCACCACCACCACCAACCCATAACACAACCACCACCACCACAGCCACCACCACCACCACAACAACAACCAACACCACAACTCACCATCACCACCACTACCACAAAAACCCACCACCACTACCTCCACCACCACCACCACCACAATCTACCACACCACCACCATCACCACCGCCACAACCACCACCACTACCAGCAGCACAACTCACCACAACCACAACAAACCACCACACCACCACCACCACCACCACCACCGCCACCACCACCACCAGCACCAGCACCACCTCCAAACCACTACCACCACCACAAACCACCACCACACCACCACCAAACCACCACCACCACCACCACAACCACCACCACCACCACCACCTTCAAACCACCACCACACCACCACCAAGCCACCACCACCAACACCACCCACCACCACCACAACCACCACCACCACAAACCACCACACCACCAGCACCACCACCGCAACCACCACCACCGCAACCAACACCACCACAACCCACCACCACCACCACCACCGTCGTCCTCGTCGACGCTCCCCGCCGCCGCCGCCCGCAGCCGCAGGCGCCGGCGCCGGCCCAGAAAAGGAAATCGTCGTCCCCGTTGCCGCCGCCAGCCGCCGCCGACGCAGGCGCCGGCCCGAGGAGAGAGGAGAGGGAGGGGGGGGGCCGGGGGGGTTCGAACGCCCCCCCCCCCTTCCGTCACGGAGGGGAGGGGTGGGTGAACCCCCACCACCACCCTCCGAGGGTCCGGTTCACCAGCCTCAAGCGACCACAGAACGCGCTCTTTCTTATCTTCATCATCAGCTTTATTCCTCATGTTATCTCCATCTTCAATCTTCTGAATATCGTCATCAGCAATCAGCATCAGCATTCGTCATTCAGCATCATCATCATTCATCATCATCATCATCATCAACAACCACATAAACATCAACATCAGCATCGTCATCGTCATGTCCATATTCGTCATCCTCATTATCTGTATCAGTAGAATCATCGCCTGCACCATGATCACCCACCACCTATTACCATTATCATCCTCATTATCATCATAATCAGCAGCAGCAGCAGCACAGCATCATCATCACCACCACCACCATCATCACCACCACCACCACCACCACCACCATCATCATCATCATCATCATCAACAACCACATAAACATCAACATCAGCATCGTCATCGTCATGTCCATATTCGTCATCCTCATTATCTGTATCAGTAGAATCATCGCCTGCACCATGATCACCCACCACCTATTACCATTATCATCCTCATTATCATCATAATCAGCAGCAGCAGCAGCACAGCATCATCATCACCACCACCACCACCATCATCACCACCACCACGACCACCACCACCACCATCATCATCATCATCATCATCATCATCATCAGCATCATCATCATAATCATCATCATCAGCATCATCGTCGGCGTCGGCGTCGGCGTCGGCCTCGGCGTCGTCGTCGGCGTCGGCGGCGTCGTCTTCGTCGTCGTCATCCTCACCATCAACAGCAGAAGCATCATCATCAGCCTCATCATCAAATCACCATCATCAGCATCATCATCAGCATCATCATCATCAGCATCGTCAGCATCATCAGCATCCTCGTCGTCGTCAATATCATCCTCAGCACTACCACCACCGTCCACAGCCGCATCCTCATCATCACGACCGTCCCTCCTTGCCCTCCGAGGCGCCCACAGACCCCCGAAGCCCCCTGCGGCGTGCGCGCGGGGCGCTCCGGCTCGGCGGGCGCGCCATGCACACGGACTGCGGCCGCAGCGACGCGCCCGCGCCCAGGAGCGCCATGAGCTCGTAGCCCATGATGTTGAGCTGCCGGGGGGGGGGCGAGGGACTCTCCCGGACCCCCCTCGGGCAAGGAAGACATCATGACGGGAAGGGGGGGGTCCCTATAGATTCTCGGCCTGCGGAGGCCCTTGCCGGCCGTCGGGGCCGTCGAGGAACGACGCGGGAGGAAGAATCGGTCCAGGGGAATGGGTCGAGGCCTCTGAGGGTCGAGGAGGAGGAGGAGGAGGAGGAGGAACGTCAAGAAAAAATCATGGCCTCGGGGGTCTGGCTGACGGGACCAGAAAGCAGACGACACCACCCCACCCACGGCCCCGCGAGGGCTCAGCGCACACCCCCAGGCGATCTGGCGTGGGCTCTCGCGTGGCAGACGCTGCGGCCCCCGACGGGGGCCGTACTACGCGCTGGGGTGGTGCCGCTTGTTTGCCTCGTCGAGCGACAGGCAGACAGACACGCAGACAGGCGACAGACAGACAGACGCACAATCCTCCTCCTCCTCCTCCTCCTCCTCCTCCTCCTCCTCCTCCTCATCCTCCTTCCCGTCGAGCTCCTGAGGCAACCGTGCGCGCGCCTTGGGCCGTCTGCCAGACAGGCGGACCACCGCCGACGGCCGTCCCCCGAGGGCGGCCCCCTGGAGAGCATGGGGGTGGCGCCGCAGCGCCAGGGAAGGCTGGTGGGCAGCTCGGTTCGCGCAGCTTCGGCACTTCCCAGAACCTGTTGTCCGTAGGGGAGCGATTGGGTCGCTCAGATGGCTCGATCTAGGGACCCTCCTGGACCCATTCGCTCCACTCCTGAGCCGATGTTGCGTCGAGTGTCCGTCAACTATAATCGAACGTGAGTCGCCAGTAAGCCCAACTTGGGTCGAACTAGAGCTGAACTAGGAGTTGAACTAAAGTCGGACTGTATGCGAACTAGGGTCGAACAGATCCGTTAGGCACTCCCAAAGAAAGCCCCCGAACCGAACATCTGTGTGCAACTCCCACGACGCAAGCGCTGTTGATTGTCAGTTCAGTTTCGCTCGAAGTTCGTTCTAGCTTCGCTATGGGACAAAACTTGAAACAGCATAGCACGAAAGCGTAACGAAACTGGAACGAAACTGGAACAACAAATAACAAAAACGAAACAATACTGGAAAAGGCAAAATATTCGAAACAACAGCAAACTTGAAACGACCCTGGAACGACACTGGAACGATTCCGGAATGAAACCGGAACGAAACTGAAACAGAACCAGAACGTCCAACCGCTGACAAACACGAACGCGGAACGAACGTGTGACCGAAGCGCAGAAGGGACGCATATTCTTGGACACCTCGAGGGCCCCGAGACCTTACACCTAGCCTCACGACCGCGGCCGGCAGCGTGCAAGAGTGAACACAGGAAAGAGCGACCTCTGGCACAGATTACCAGGCGCTGCGCGCGGCGCGGCGGCAGCCACGGCCCGCCCTCCACGGGTTCTGGCAGTGGCAGTCCCCCGCGCCCTCCGCGGCAGCCGCGCACGGAGGCCCCTCCGGCGAGGGGCCGCGGTTACGTGCAAGCGGTCTGGGGGGCGTGGAGGGTTCGCATCGGGTTCTGAAAAGGCGGAGAAAACTGCAGAAGGGTAGTAAACTTTCGCAGGGCCGCGCGAATTTCCTGGCTCGGCGCTGGGCCCACTCCGTGGCAGGCGGTGCGCGGCAGGCAGGGGCGGCGCTGGAAGCGCCACCAGGTGGGCCCAGCGACCACCCAAGAAATCCGCGCGGAGCTCCGAAGGGTAATGTTCATCATACAGCTTTGTTTTACCGAAAGGGTGACACTCCGGCTGGCCACCAAGGGCAGCGTGGCGGCGATGCTCGTTCTCTCTCCCGAGATGGAGGGTTCTGATTGGACTCGGCACTAGGCGTGACGGTCAGGGAGCTCCGTGCGCCACTAGATTTAGGTCGGGCATGTCCCCCTACGTGCGGATCTTGGACGAAAAAACCAAATATACCCCAAAAACAAATGCCCCCAAAGAGCCAAACATGGTCAGGAATTCGTCCCCAGACTATTTTTGACTATCTTTGAACTGTCCCACTGTAAAGGGACAGGTCCGACTTGACACTACATGGGACAGCTGGCCTCTGGGCGATGGTCGGGGGGAACGAAAGGAGGGGATAGCAAAGGGTAGGGTAGAGAATCAGCTCACGTAGCTGATTTTCCCAGCGCCTCCCCTCCCCCCCCCCCCCCGGCGCCGGGAGGCGCCATGTTATCGAGGATATGGCATGCGGCGTGGGCCGAAACCAGCTGCATGCATAAAAACTCTCCTCCTCCTCCTAATGACTCCTCCTCCTCCTCCTCCTCCTAGCTCCTCCTACTCCTCTTCCTTCTCCTCCTGCTCCTCCTCCTCCTCCTTCTCCTCCTCCTCCTCCTCCTCCTCCTCGTCCTCCTCCCCCTAGCTTCGCCTCCTCCTAGCTTCTCCTCCTCCTCCTCCATTCATACTGCTTATAAATAACTCCCGCCTGTCGCACCCCGAGGCCAGTTTTTACTGCGGGCCGGGCGTTTCGCCTAAGAATTCCTCACCATGTATGACCCTGAAGCTTAGAAAGTGACAACAGCTTCACAGATGGATGGCGGGTCGCTTTCAAAATGTGGCTCTCGCCTCAGCGCCGCGCACATTATAAAAAGTTGCAAGAGCTTCACGGATTGAGGGCGGGTGGTTTTCAAAATGTGGCTCTCGCCCTAGCGCGGCGCGCATTCGTCTTACGTAAAGAAAAATGTGAGAATTTCACAGATTGAGGGCGGGTCGTTTTCAAAATGTGGCTCTCGCCTGAGCGCCGCGCACACTCGTCTTAAGCATTTACGCGAGCTTCACGGATGGAGGGCGGGTGGTTTTCAAAATGTGGCTCTCGCCTTAGCGCCGCGCACTTTCGTTATAAACATTTCCAAGAGCCTCACCGATTGAGGGCGGGTGTTTTTCTAAATGTGGCTCTCGCCTTAGCGCCACGCGCATTCGTCTGAAAAATTGCAAGGGTTTCACGGATTGAGGGCGGGTCGTTTTCAAAATGTGGCTCTCGTCTTAGCGCCGCCCACATTGGTTATAAAAACTGCAAGGGCTTCACGGATTGAGGGCGGGTGGTTTGCAAAATGTGGCTCTCGCCTGAGCGCCGCGCACACTCGTCTTAAGCATTTACACGAGCTTCACGGATGGAGGGCGGGTGGTTTTCAAAATGTGGTTCTCGCCTTAGCGCCGCGCACTTTCGTCAAAAACATTTCCAAGAGCCTCACCGATTGAGGGCGGGTGGTTTTCTAAATGTGGCTCTCGCCTTAGCGCCACGCGCATTCGTCTTAAAAATTGCAAGGGTTTCACGGATTGAGGGCGGGTCGTTTTCAAAATGTGGCTCTCGTCTTAGCGCCACCCACATTGGTTATAAAAAATTGCAAGAGCTTCACGGATTGAGGGCGGGTGGTTTGCAAAATGTGGTTCTCGCCTTAGCGCCGCGCACACTCGTTATAAATAAAAAAAAAAATAAAATTAAACGATATAAAAATAACCCCTAAAAAATAGAATACATAAAAAAAATATATATATATCGAGAAAAAATATATATATATATAATATGAATTCTAAATAAAAACAAATAAATAAACAACATAATAAAAAAAAAACATAATAAATAAAAACACAATAATAAAAATAACCATTAATAATAAAATAACATAAAAAAATAGGAAAAAGTAAAAATAAATCAATATTAATAAGATTCACAAAAAAATAATACAAAGCAAACTAACTCATATAATGAACAAATCATAAATATCTAATAAAGAAATACATAAAATAAATAAAAAGTATCAAGAGAAAAAATTAAAAAAAGAAATAGAATAAAAAATATAATACAATAAAAAAAACATCAAATATAATAAAAGAAAAAAATAACACAAATAAAAATAAAAATAAGAATGTGCAAGAATTTTGTGGATTGAGGGCGGGTCGTTTTCAAAACGTGGCTCTCCTCTAAGCGCCGCGCACATTCGTTATAACAAATTGCAAGAGCTTCATGGATTGAGGGCGGGTGATTTTCAAACTGTGGCTCTCGCCTTAGCGCCGCGCGCAGTCGTCTTAAAAATTGTAAGAGTTTCACGGGTTCCCATTATCAACGCATGCACCAGAGCTGGCGTGTTGGAAGAATTCAGGGTTATGCGGCCGCAACAGTTATGTTGACTCACTATGCTGAAATCCCCAAAATGGCGTTCTGGCACGATTCTGGATCGTCAAGACGCAGCAGTCAGGTTGATATGTGGCGTTGAACCTGAGAACAATATTTTGGCACGCATCAGGATCTTCAAACTGTTGTCTTCCACCGAGGCAGTTCCCTATATGGAAATGAACCATTGTAGGGGCATGTGAAGAGGTAGCTTGGAGGGAGGTTTAATTCCAACATCGTTGATGACTCTTGGGTTTCCACTGGTCATCCTTCTCCTTCTCCTCCTCTTAGCTCCTCCTCCTCCTCCTCCTCCTCTTCCTCCTCCCCCCCCCCTCCTCCTCCTCCTCCTCCTCCTCATCCTCCTCATCAGATCCTTCTCATTCCTTGTCCTCTCGTCGACTCCTCCTCCTCCTCCTCCTCCTCCTCCTCTCTCATCCTCATCTCTCACCATAGTTTAGACTCCTCTCCTCTCCTCTAATGCCTCCTCCTCCTCCTCCTCCTCCTCCTCTCCCTCTGGGCGAGCCGGCGCGGCCGCTGCCCCCTGGGCCGCGCCGACCGCTGTCCGCACGGCTGCACGCGCCGCGCCGCGCTCGGCGCGTCCAGCGCGCCGAGCGTGGGCAGCTCGCGGACCAGGCCGGCGTCGGGCGGGGGCGCGACCGTGCATTTTGGACGACATAGCCAACAATAACAACTAACAACTAACAACAACAACAACAACAACAACAACAACAACAACAACAACAACAACAACAACAACAACAACAACAACCACAACCACAACCACAACCACAACCACAACAACAACAACAACAACAACAACAACAACCACAACCACAACAACAACAACAACAACAACAACAACAACCAC